TTTTTTTTAATTATATCCTTAACAAGTTATTTTGAGATGATATTCCTAACAAAAAATATACTCTATTAAATTTTTATCTACTTACAAGAAAATTTTCCACATATTTTCAATTTAACAAGCTACTTATTACTCATATATATAAGACTAAAACTATAACAATTTTGAAAACCATAAATAAATAAAAATTAGTAAAATAATAAATAAATAAAAATGCACTATCCTAACTTTCGTGTATACCAAGTAAAAAGGAAAATAAATACATAATTTTGTATACTTCAAAAAATAAAACTAAGTACTACTCATCCGTTTCATAATAATTGTTTATTTTACTAAAATTAGTTGTCCACCTTACTAAATCAAGAAAGCATTAATCAAAATTTTCATATATTATCCTTGTAATTAATTCTTTTTGAAAGTGTTCACATTTATTTGTAAAATTCGCAATAAGTTTTTAAGGGGTGGATTAGTAAAATTATTTTCTTCTTAATGATTTCTTAATATGCATGTAAAAAAGAAAATGATAAAATAATATGGATCGGAGAGAATATTTAAAACTATGAACTTATTGTCTAAATTATTGACAATTTTAAATAATTCTCAAATACAAACATTAAAAAAAAAAAAACTTAACTAATAAATTTAGAATATTACTGTTGTTATTTCACATGACCTAGAAGTCTAGATCTATAATAGTCTACATTTATTAGTTAATTTTAAAAAGGAAAAGTATCAAGAAAATACAAAAAAGAACAAAAAGTTATGCCTTAACTGAGGTTCGAACTTGGGTTCACGGCACGAAAATGAACCCATTCACCACTGATCCACGCCATTCATTGTGTAAAGAGTGGGTTCATTTTAGTTATATCAACGAACTTACAATTAATTTATATATGTAAAATACAAAAAATTTCGATGAAGTGGGTTCAATTGAACCCACTTGAACCACTGTGGGTCCGCCCCTGATATTGATATGCTACTTAAAGAAATACGTACATATACTTTCATAGTTTGGTGGAGCAATTTTTACTAACAAAAATGATAGAACATGAAAATGAAAAGTTAATTTATAATTTTGAAAATACAGTTAGTTTCTTTGCTTTCTATTTACTTATAATAGAATATTTGTCTCAATAACTCTATTTTTATTGTCTTCATTTTCTATAATTAATTTCTTTATTAGTGTAAGAATGTACAAATATAACTCCTATTATGTTACATAATTTATTATATTGAATGTAATATTTATTTAAAATGTGAAATATACTTTTTAATATTTTTGTGTTTAAGCCAAGCAAAATTAAAAGAAATAGGAATTTGTATGTGTAATTTTTTTGAATCTTTTTTGCGTAGTTAATTCTCTTTTTTGTTCTCTTTTATGTTTATTTTTGAATTTATTTTCTTATATTCTTTTGTTTTCCCAATATAAGTTGTCCCAAAAAGTAACTGGATATCTGAACTTAAATATAATAATATATTAAGATATGGAAACTAACTAATTAAGATTATTATTTTTCATCATTTAAATATGTAAACTTATTTTTATTTAAAATGCTTTGTGTACAACTTGGTAGTGCCGTGTTCGTCCTCTAAAGTGTCACTTCTAATAAGGAGTAATATAGTAGTATTTTTTAATGTTTTATCGTAACGATAAATAGGGTTAATGAGAAATAGTTTTTTTATCTCTAAAGTAGAAGAGATGAGATCTTTGCACTTTACCATCTTCAGATTCTACTAGTTATTTTCAATACATAGAAATATACAGAAAATGTAGGAATACACAGAACAATACACTGAAATATACAGAAACATATAAAACTTTTGAGTTTATAAATAAAATAATTTCATTCAAATTGATATCAGAGAATCTACGATCCTGGTAGAAGATCTAAGAGTATCCGCTGCTGGCGGGCGGTTATGACTCATATATGTCGCGCCGTCTGGCCAATGATCAAGTTGGCAAAGGCTAAACGAATGATACATGCATGAAAAATATGCTAGGAGGAAAGACTTGCAAAAATATGACAGATTTAAAGAAGTGCAACCAAGCACAAGAGGAAGAAATTTTTTTCTAAATTAAAAGTTAGAGAAAGTAAAAAAAAAAGGAGTTGATGGGAAGTGCATCAACGAGAGTGCTCCAACACCAAAAACCAAAAACAAAAAAAAAACAAAAAGAAAAGGAGTTGGTGGGAAGGACATCAACGAGAGTTGGAGAGACATTGCTCCAACACAAAAAAAAAGGCGTTGGTGGGAAGGGCATGAAGTTGGAGAGAAGTGTTCCAACACAACCAAGAGAAAAAATATCGTGAGTTGGAAAGAAAGTGCTCCAACACTAGTTATTTATGATATTTACTTATTTATATATAATTGGGATTTGTTAGTTAGAGTAGTTCCTAGTCATAGTTTAATTTGATTTTTACTTTTATAAATAGGAATGTCACTAGTTATTTTCAATACATAGTACAAAAAATATAGGAATACACATAAATATACATAAACATATAGAACTTTTGAATTTATTAAAAAAATATTTTCTTTTACAACTGATACATAATACAAACACAGGTTATACAAAATACAAATACAATTGTCTGAATATAATTGATATAAAATACAATTTTTTCACTTATATTTAATTGAATGCAATTGATATATAATACATTTGACTGAGAGGATGAATACATATTGTATATTAAGATTTGTTTAATGGGGGTGGAAGAAGATTCAACAAAAGATGACCCAATTCGACTATTTACCAAAATAGTCAACAAAAGCCAAGCTACATTACATGACAAGTCCTTTTCTACATAAAAGGCAAGCTATAGTACACGACAACTACTAAAGAATATATCTATATATTATATTACTTTAGAAACATATACAAGATTTATGATAAACAAAAGCATTACTCCATTTATTATTATTTTTTCAAAAAAATATTATTTTATTATTATTCTAATATTTTTATTTTAAAAATTAATTTAAGTTATAACTATGAAATTTTTATTTATTTGTAATAGATAACAACTCTTATTATTTAGTACTTTAGAAATTAGAATTGACCAATTTTTTTATTTATTTGAACTATATTAAAAGTCTTAATAATTAAAACTTCAAAATAAATATTTTACTGTATATAAATCTTACTTAAATTATGATAAACCAAAAAAAATTAAAGAAAGAGGTTCACATTTTCTTAGAGAGGTGGAAGAGGTAGATGGCAAGGGCTTCTAGCTAATACCATATCAAATTACACATACAAGTACACACCAACTTTTAAAGAAAGTTTATTTTCTGTTCTTACTTTATATTCCCATAGTTTACACAATTATATAGGTATGAGGATACTAAGCACTCTAAGAATAGAGACAATTTGCACATAATGAAACAACCATTACATTAAACTCAAGAAATACTATAGTACAAATGTTTATCCATCCTTATTCCATAAACCACATAACAACGAAAGGGCGTTCACAGAAGGAGTTAACAAGAAAATTAAATGACACACAATGACTTTGCCATATCATCATTGTACATGCTAACATTTGGCCTTGGTTCAAAAGACTTTTCTCCTTTAAGACTGATTTCATTGTCACGGTAGGAAGTTGCAGTTGGCCTTGGTTCAAAATCTTTAGTAAAAAATGATTTTTCTTGTTTGAGGCTAACATCACCATGATAGTAAGCAGTTATAGTCGGCCTTGGTTCAAAGGACTTTTCTTCTTTAAGACTGACTTCATCATCACGGTAAGAAGTTGCAGTTGACCTTGGTTCAAAATCTTTAGTAAAGGATGATTTTTCTTGTTCGATGCCAACATCACCATGATAGTAAGCAGTTATAGTCGGCCTTGGTTCAAAAGACTTTTCTTCTTTAAGACTGACTTCATTGTCACGGTAAGAAGTTGCAGTTGGTCTTGGTTCAAAATCTTTATTAAAAGATGATTTTTCTTCTTTGAGGCCAACATCACCATGATAGTAAGCGGTTATAGTCGGACTTGGTTCAAAGGATTTTTCTTCTTTAAGACTGACTTCATCATCACAGTAAGAAGTTGCAGTTGACATTGGTTCGAAATCTTTTGTAAAGGATGATTTTTCTTGTTCGAGGCCAACATCACCATGATAGTAAGCAGTTATAGTCGGCCTTGGTTCAAAAGACTTTTCTTCTTTAACACTGACTTCATCATCACGGTAAGAAGTTGCAGTTGACCTTGGTTCGAAATCTTTAGTAAAGGATGATTTTTCTTGTTCGAGGCCAACATCACCATCATAGTAAGCAATTATAGTCGGCCTTGGTTCAGAAGACTTTTTTTCTTTAAGACTCATGACTTCATCATCACGGTAAGAAGTTGCAATTGGCCTTGGTTCGAAATCTTTAGTAAAGGATGATTTTTCTTGTTTGAGACTAACATCATCATGATGGTAACCAGTTGCACTCGGCCTTGATTCAAAAAACTTTTCTCCTTTAAGACTGACTTTATTATCACGATAAGAAGTTGCAGTTGGCCTTGATTCAAAAGACTTTTCTTGTTTGAGAGCAGTGTCATCATGATGATAAGCAATTATAGTTGGCCTTGGCTCGAAAGGAGAGTCATACCGAGGCATAAGATGCTGGATTGCTATAGGCATAGGCTCATTTTTCATCACAATTCTCTCCAATATTCTCCGGGGTCTCTGATATATTGCGACTTTACGGTATTTCTAATACATTTCACTTACAAATTGTGTGTATCTAGGGCCTTTTTGTATTGGTTTTTATGTGTTTTTATCATATTTTGCAGGAAAGATGTTTAGGCGCGGAAGTAAAGAGATAACTGAAAGAAATGCAAAAAAGGTGCATTTACGAAAGTGATCTACGGACCGTAGGTCCATTGACGGTCCGTGGGTGATGGCCGTAAATCAGTAGGCAAGGCGTGTAAGGCAAATTAGGGAAATCTGACCAAGGGTGGAACCACGGTGGCCATTGACGGTCCTTAGATTGATCTACGAACCGTACTGTTGATCCGTAGATTGATACTGTGAGGGTTCCAGTACCTGATTTTTGAAGATTCCAAGTGTGGAGCTACGGAAGGATTGACGAACTGTAGATCGATCTACGGTCCGTACTGCAGTTCCGTCGTTTGCTTCAGAGAAGCTAATTGGTGGAAGCTGAAATATTTTCCAAGTCCTGGCTGATGGAAGGGACTCACAGACCGTAGATCCATTGACGGTCCGTGAGTCAGTCTCGTGGAATGAAGACGCGTGCCTGAACAAAGTTTCCTTAATCTGGTTCCTTTTTAACTTAGGACTTGTTTTCTATAAATAGGTTATGTAAACCTCGTTTTTGGGGGTTAGAGATTATTATTCTAGTTTTACTTTGTGATTTGGGAATTAATTTGCAAACCTAGCAATTATTGATTTCCTAAGCTCGTTTTGAAGATTTTGGGTGTGCAATTCAAGTTGAATTTCTGGGTTTGTTATTCTCCTTACGTAAGTTCATGATTTCTCTGTTTAAAACTATGAATTGTATTCTTGCTAATATGGGTAACTAAATCCACAACTATATCAACATAGATTTAGTGTGATACTATCTAATATGCTAGTGTCGATTGGTGCGAAGTAATAACTAAGCCAAACATCGATGTGATGTCTAATATGAGGTAAAGGTAAGGGTTAGTAAATTATACATACGTAGTCGGATCAAGGTGCGGGGTGAAATTCTCTAGATGCCGGATCAAGGATTTAGAGATACCTAACTTATCACTTTGCATGCGATCTACTAGGAAAGGATTGTTATTACTAGGATTACTGCGTTATGAGCTTGTGGGGAACACGTATACCCTAGTTAATTCTCTCATCTTGATAACAACAAAGATTGACTTTTGTGTATTGATCACTTATTGAATTTTTACAATTTGTTTCACAAATTTTCCTCCCATTTAATTACCTGTTTCTGGAAGTAATTTGACTAATTGAATATAATTGTTGGTTAAAGTAAGGTCTAAACCATTTTCCTCGTGGGATCGACCCCAACCTACAAATTGGATTCTTTACTTGATAACGATCACTTATACTTCTTTAGGGAGGTGTAATTTGAGCGTATCAGTCTCTTCTTGCATCTGCGCTGCTTGCATACTGCACACAAAAATGACAGAATAAAATGTTTGTTGAATTCTATGTTACATGGTTACATGTGCATTCATTTTCTTATTACTAATATATACTCCTGATTCAATAATAATTGTCCACTATACTAAAATGGTTGTTCAACAATACTTGTCCAATTTAGAAAATCAAGAGATAATTTGTCTTATCTATTTTGCTTTGCTATTAAATACTAGGGGCCCTAAATACTATTTATCATCTAACACATCTCTCAACGCATTAAATTTAATAAAGTCAAAGAATAATATAGTAATATTACCCCTATTATTTATTGTTTCTTAATGGGTGTGTCAAGTCAATAGTGAACAGCTATTGTTGGACAGAGGAGTAGACCTCTTGGGAAGTAGTTTGGTCATTTGACCAATTTTCCTTTCTATTTTAACTTCGTTTCAATTTATTTTTTGTTTTCTTTTGTATATGTGATGCATTTAAAAATTACAAAAAAGTAGTACTATAAATCATAATATTTTACAACTTTTATATATATATTAAAACATTGATCAACTCACAAAATTTCTCTTGTGCAACATAAATTGGGATATAGGAAATATTATATATTATTAGTTGAAAATTACGTAAAAATACTATGATTTGTAATAATTAACAACTTAAAATATTTAAAATGGTTGGTATGGATATACACATATAGTTTTAGGAAGAATATTTGGTTATAAAATATATACTCATGATGTCATACTCAGTACAAATCAAAATGTTAGATTTACATATGTTGGCTTTATTTAAAGTTAACTAATATACTCGGTACAAATCAAAATGATCATAATGCAGCATGCAATTTTAGGATTTAAATCATGCACACAATTAGTATAATGAATTCTTACGCTATTAATTTAATATAATTTGTTAGAGAAGATTACTGACCATTTATTTTAAGTTATCAATTAATGATATTAAATAGAGGAGTTTATGTTTTATGCATCGTTAATACGCTATTTTTTTTAGATATTCGGTAATTTTGTCTTGATTCGTTCACTTCTGTTATTTTCTTGAGCCGTATTTTCTTGAATCAAGAGAGTATCGAAAAACATCTTTACCTCTCAAAGTAAGGATAAGACATGCGCACATACTATCTTCTCTAGACCCCAGTAATTGTTGGATTATACTGGATACGTTATTGTTGTTATAGATTGCTAAAAAATCACTATTTTTTCATTGAATTTGTTCAGTGGCTACTCCCACTTATATTTTGATTGAATCGGTGAGAAAAATAATGATAGTGTTTTCACATGTAAAAATTAGGAAATTTCCCACTCTTTCAGTGTGAATTTGTTTCTCACCGTGTGTTTTTTCAATAAACTGATTTGGTGAAAATGGATAAAAAAATCATACATTATAACAAAAAAACAGAATTCTCATTGATCTGCGATGAAAAAAAAGCCTCTATTTCTAATAGCGCTGGAATTTCTTCGATAACCAACATTAAATAGAATTGCTTAAATATTTTTGTGCATTATATAGAATTTAACTTACCAAGGCAAGTGAAATGAGGAGGATGAGAGCAAAAAGTGATTTCATGTCTGCGAGAGCGGTACAATTCATATGCTTTTGCTATTGATATTTGCTTGGTGCATCGATAATAAAATCCTACACTTTATATAGACAAGTTGGACATGTATAAAACAATTTAATAATAATAATTAAAAAAAAAACAACAACATAATTTGTGTTTCATGTGATGAAAGATGTTCTACAATAAAAATATTTTTCATTAAAACTATTATATATATATTTATATATAGGTCGATGTGCAACGCTTCTAGCCGAAGGCATTTATATAATATTTATATTTTTTTTCATTTTAATTTATATATTTTATTTTTTAAAATATTTTTAATATTTGAAAATTACATTTTAAAAAATACTATAAATTATGATAATTAACGGTTTAAAATATTTAAATTTAAAAAATTGATTGATTCTCAAAAGTTTGTCGGTGCCACATAAATTGGGATAATAGAAATAACATGTATTATTTTAAAATGATGTAAAAGAACACTATAAAATATAAATCACAATAATTAACAACTTGGAATATTTGAAAAACATATAAAAATTTGGATGATACTTGAAATTCTAAATGCACCACATGAATTGGAATATAGAGCTTAATATATATTATTTGAAAATTATGTAAAAAAATACTATAAATCACAATAATTAACAACTTTTAATATTTTATAATTATAAATTTTTGGGATGTATTTCCAAATTTCAACGATATCACATAAATTGAGACTGAAAGAGTAACATATGTATTGGGTATCTAGTATATAGTAGAAATTGTTTGGTAAGTGTAAAGTATTTTTTGAAAAAATATATTAAAATTAATAATAAAATTAGCAAATTAAGTAATGATTTGATAAACATTTTGATATTAAAGATTGATAAATATGCCTACTGATTGAAGCAATTGATAATTAAATTAAAAGTTATAATAATTACAATAGAAAATATTTTTGGTAACCAAATGTAAAAAAATAACTTTCTTATGAAAACATTTTATTGAAAAATGTCCTTTGACATGCCATAAAGGCAAACACATAATTATATCTAATATCTTATAATAAAATAAGTAACAATATGATCTTTCTCTAGTCATCTATTTTTGTCGAAGATTTGATCGTCAGATTTCTCACCAACTGATTGGCTGGCTATAAATTTCTTACAAAATGGTGGTTAATACTTAATCACTTCCCACGATATAATAAATAAATGATTTTGCCACAATTATGTAGGCTGTAGCAATGATATAATTATCTTTATATAATAGTGGCAGATCAAGAATTTCTGTGAAGGGGTTCGAACTATAAAGAAGTAAACATGTAAAAATTACAAGATGAAAAACTGAGCGAGACAGGAGGAAATTAGTAATCTGAATTCAATAAGTTTAACTTGCCTTGTCATGCCGCGTTTAGTTTATTCTACTTTTAGCTATTTTATCGAGCTTTTTAAAAAAATATTTCATGTGTTTTTTCTCTCTCTCTTTTATATTACAGTGTTCTACTCTATTTTTGAACTTTTTTTAAATTCAACCACTAAAATTCTTTAAAAAGGGTGTAAGAATTGAGTTACTAATATTATAATGTATATTCATAAGATAACTAATTTAGATCGTCAATTTTTTAGTTCATTTAATTCAATTTATAGGTTAGTCATTTGTGAAAAAGACAAATGATGAATATATCAAATAAATTTAGTTTAGTATTCATCTTTTTAAAATCGAACTGGAAAAAAAGAAGAAAGAAATACTATAAAATTAAGGAGAAAAATCAATTAATTAGATTTTATTAAAAGAATTTTCACGACTTTAAAATTTCTTCATTTGATCAACTTTAATTTAATTTATTTTATATAATATATTTTGTAAATCAATTTCATATTTAATAATAATTCATTATTTTTTAAACAAGTTTCGAGTTAGTATATGGAAAGACACTTATGTAGAAATAAAATGAGCTGTACAAATAAGAAGAATAAAAGAAAAAAGTATAAAAAAATGTC